TTAACTAATTTTTGGCACCATTCAAGCTTAAGGAAAGCTTTGAGAAGCTTGAGTTTTGAGTGGTAAACCTTTGACCTTTTAAAGGTTTGAGGTAATTAGGGAAAGTTTAGTTTATGCTTTTGTCTATTAATTAATTATATATTAGAAAGATTGATTTAAAACTTAATAGTTGTGTTTAATGCAAATTTGGCAAGGTAATGGATCATGTGTTGTGCAAGTATGTATGGACTAATGGAATGAAATATGGGTGTAATATATATGATTGGTGCTATTGAGAAAGTATCTATGTATGAAAATGAAAATGAAAATATGATGTTGTGTATTGAGTTATGTAGAGTATGATGAGGATGATTTATTATAAGTGTGATGATTATTTGTAAATGTGCATACTATGTTTTAAGTATGCATAACATGATCATTAAGGCGAGAGTTTATCTATAAGGAGAGGAGTAGATTGGTAAATTCATGTGGTAATAATGGCTTATTGTTGGAATCAGAAACTTACCTTAGCACCTACTATTAGAATCAAGAGGTAGCCATTGTCTTATAATTGACTAGGGACTGTTCCATTTGTTTTTCAAGGCACTCAAACCTAATTAGTTTTTCACCGGTTCATAAGGAGGCTAGATTAGTAGTAAGACACCCTATGGTTATTAGTATTGGAGAAACCATGGATCATAAAGGAGTGAGTTAGCCCTAGTCTAGCAGCTCCTCACCAGTGGAAGACTGGGTTAGTCTAAGTTGTGGACGTAGCCATTGAATAGCCACCAATTTCATGTCGGAGGTATCAAAAGGGTATAAAGTTAACGGTGATCATGCATTTATAGTTTTAGCCACATAGCTGCTATTGTTGTAGTCTGGTGTGTCTTCCACTAGGGGCGTATGGTTGTTATTATTACAATCTCAAGATATGCATTATCGAAATATATTTGAACATATATGTTGTATGCCTAGTCACATAGTTGTTATTTTTATGGTCGAGGCTATATTTGAAATATGTGCATATAATGATTGTGAGATTATTGCTATTTGCATCCATAATTAATTGATATACAATTATATAAGATTGATTATCTTTGATTACTAAGTGGTTGTATTCACCCCTCATTCTTCAATATTATAAGGCCTAGCTTGTCGGATCACGATTAGGAAAAACTACCAGAGGCATGGGATTATGAGTAAATCTAATTTGTAGGCCTCCTGGTTTAAATTATATGTATCTAAACATTATTAATTTGTCAACTAGGATCTCATGATTCTTTTGGCTACCTGCACTATGGTGGTAGTAGTTTGAATGTATTTTATGCTATGGGTTTATTTATGATGGGATTGTAAAGTTTGATAGGGCTGAAATAATATTGCAAGTAAGGTAATGTATATGTGGTTGACATTGATGAATATTTGATGGATTTATGCAAAATTAGTTCCCTTTTATGTTTTGTAAATGAAGGGGTTAAGCATTGAAATTTCAATATACATGTTTTTGATTGAGTGTAGTGTATTGTACGAGTCCATAATAGTCTCTTAAGTGTGGTTTAAAGATTGATGTAAGCTTTTAGCACATGTGCTGTGGTTTGGGCACCTTAATTGTGTATTATTGTGAAAAAGAAGTGAGATTTGTAAATGGTGTCTAACTTTCGATAGAAAAATAATTTAATTGTGAAATTAGTTAGAGCTAGGAGAAAGCTTTCTGTAGACACCTAGATCACTTCAATCGAACATCAAATGGTGATTTATGGCATGTCAGAAGTTTATTCCTAGTACTGTCATTTGACAACAGAATGTTATTAAAATTGCGCAATGTGTCACAGCGTATAGTGCCTTCCCCATGGCATATGGCACAAAGGCATACAAGCTGTGACACATATGCAATAAGCTACAGTGCACATGTTATTTGAATTGAAAATTAATATTTTCACTTCTTTTGCAAATGCATTGCTTGTTTAGGATTTCATGTTTTTGCACATGTTTTAAACTCTGATTTATGAGTAATAACATTTTATAGGTGTATTAAAAATTTTAAAACTTAGGATCCCTATTTATGCCATTTTTTCAAACTTGATAACATACTTGGTTTAACCTTGTAATTACCTTGACAATAGGAGATTATGGTGGATTAGTAAAGGTAACCTTACTAGTCTTACTGGGAGTATTATACAAGGTTAATTATATGCTTCATACATAATGCATTGATATAAGTGAATTCTTACTTTCTTCTATGCATTATTTTATAGTCAATAATTATTTTTCTTTTATTTAGGTTTGTGTATTATTGCCATATCACTACTAATGAGAGAGATGGAATGTATTGTCCACAATTCATCATATAAATCAATTTAGTGGAGAACTTAATTTATTAGCTTCTATATTTTTTGGTCCCGTGTATCGTGCGAGATATCATGCTAGTTTCAAATCAAGTGCCAAAAGCTTGAATTTCACCCTAGACTACACTTAATAGACTCAAGAGCACCTATGTAATACATCACATCATATAAGTAACATGTCTATCACATTTTTAATGCTCAATCCCTTAATAACAAAAATAAAAAAGGGAGCTTTAATTTCATAATCATAACATCATTCATCATTAATAACATATTTGCACACTTCTCATTTCCACTAGCATTTTAGCCCTTTCTAGATTTTATAGTTTAATACATATGCAACCTAGGACCCAAAATACACAACTTAGCTTAATAATTACATAATGCAAGTAAACATGAATTCTCTCAGTTGGCAATACTATAAATAGTTATACACATAAATTCAAAATAGTTAAGGCATATAAATTTAGAATGGATATCCTAAGCCTCAGATTGTTTCTCTCAATCTTGCCCTAATGATCTGGCTCTTGTAATTTTGAAAAGAGAGAGGTGAGTACAACCTTTCAGTAATCTAGATATATCTAACCTACACTCATGCATATTAATTAATTACAATGCAATTGGCTTTATATAATATAATCATATCAAATTAACATTCTCAAAACACATATATTTGTGTTTCCTATTGTCAATCACACCAATCATGTAATATCATCTCAGTAACACCTTTTCACACTCTTACAGGGCTAATCACATGTTTTCATATAATTTTATCACAACGGACACAATATAGACAACCATGTGCCCTTATCAACAATATGTATGATCACATCTCCTTTATATCCTTTTTATACCTCTAATATGAAATCGTGGGTTATTTCACATAATGGGCTCATCTTTGTGATGAGACTATCCTAGCCTTTTATGCATGAGAAACTACCCAGTCAATATTGCTTAACTCACATGTAGGTTACAATTTTTCAAATCTCACATTACGGGGTGTCATTCTCCTTAAACTAGCTTCCTCATTAAACAAGTGGAAATTAGAGTAAGCTTAAGTCCCTTAATACACAATGCGACAGTCCCTTATCGAACAAGGAGGATAATAAATATGATGATATCTAGGTAAACCATTGAGCTCTAAGGCAACCTTACCATGCAGATTTTTAACTTACTACTCCTCTTTCTAGGTAAGATCCTGCCTTACATAATCATGCAATACTAAAATACAATACTTCATAGCATGCAAAATAATCACTATATAGGCATACTTAACATCATCATTGTATTCATATCATCTATGTAAAGTCCCCTAAATAATCTGAACTTTACCAACCATATCACACACATCACAACACAATTATTAGAATTATAGCCCTTAATCCATTTTGAAAATGTAGGATCCTGACTTCATAAAAAACAAGTTCAAATAAGAAGGTTAATAAAAGTGTAACACACGTCTAACAAACAAGATAAAGTAGCAAAATTTTTAAAAACAAGCTATGCGCCATGGCATATAGTATAAAGTAGCATGCACTAATTTTGTATCATGCATTGTGGCTTGCACACCATGTGCCCAGCACATATATCAGATTTTACTATCATAATAGCTTTATGATACAAACTTCTTGATAGAGGTAGAAGATTAAGAGTGAGAGAGAGGAGAGGCAAAAGGAGAATAGAGAGGAAGAGAGATTAATTCCATTCATATTTACCCATTACAACCCAAAGACCTATTTATAGATCATATATCTAAATACCCAAATTACCCTTATATTTCTAATTCACCTAATTACCCCTATTATTCCTAATTCTCATGTATCAATACTCCCCCCAATAAGAGATCCTTATCCTTAAGGATCAGTACAAAAGCAAGAAAATATATATCTAAAATAAGACTTAGCCTTTTTTTTGGGTTGACCTTAAGTTGCAAAAATGTCTAAAATAAAATAATTTGATTACAAAATTAATGGACATCAAAAGCCCAAACATGCTATGGCAGTCTTTCACTCTAGAAGCCCATCATGGCAATCCACATAAACTTGTGAGAGGCCCACTGTTGAAGCTTGAGAGTACCCCATATATCCACCTTCGTGCCCCAAGTCCATCCCAAGATTGTTGGGTTCATATATACTTGAAAGGCCCAAACTCCATCTCCATAAGGTCTAATAGTACCTTTAGTAAGCCCATTTTGAATGTGAGTCTGATGGTTAGCATGTAGGTCACATTTAGAACACACTTGGAAGACACTTGGAAGAAATGTTAAACTAATTGAACTTTAAAACGGATTCACGTAGATGCATGTATAGGTGGCAATTAGAAAATATTGCACAAATACCCCCCAAAGCCCATTATCTTTTCATCAATTATACCCGACTGAATTCCTTCAAGAAACCTACCCAATTTGAAAGCCGAGTCATATTCCTTTTCTTTGACGGTGTAAGTATTGGTGGAAAAAGTAGGTACACCATCGTTGAAGTTCAGGCTGCTGGAGATGGTGGTCTTGGTCTTGCTTTCACTAAATATCATCACACTCTAAGTGTTTTTATCCAAATCAATATTTACTTTGCAAGCCCCTTCTTTCACCCAAATCACTAATTTCTTGTCACTGGTATTACCCATAGTAGCGCTAATGGGTTCCTGCACCATCATATAACACCCATTCCCTTTGTCCTTTCAAATTGCAAACTTGCCTCTGATTCCTAATGACTCGTCCTTGATCTTGCCATACTGTAGCCTGCCATTGGTCCGACGAATGCAGTGGCTAGAGTCATGGAGCACCTTGATGTAGGCCTTGCAAGCAGATGCACGGTTGATACTAGAAGTAGATGAGTCAAGAGTGGACTTGACCATGGATTGCACAGTCTTGAAGTTCTTCAAGGGCATAACCATGGCAATTTTCTCCTTCTCATCAGTCTCCAACTTATCAACAAGCTTGTCTTTGTTACTAATTTGGTTTTTCATGTTATAGATGTTTGTTTTCATGCAGTTATGAGCATTAATCTTCTCCTTGACCTTCTTGTCTTCCTCTTGTGCTTCACAAGCCATTCTATTCCCTGATTTTCCAATTACCAAAGGTTGAAAAGTAACATTTGCAGTAGAGGCAAAGGTCATCACTGTTGAAAGTATGAGTGGAGGGTTATGTGGTGGCATGTTAAATGGTGTACCCACAGTGACCACAGGCGAGTACAAAGGTTGGTGGGTAAGCATTGAGAGCTTAGTTGAGATTTCTTGTATTTGTTGACATGGCTTGCTTGATATTATTGAAATCGTAAGTCTATTGGTCTAATATCTACTGTTGGTGTTGAAGCAAAGCTAATTACATCTCCAAATGATATTCTATAGCACTAGTGCATTCATTCGATTGGCTCTTCGGTAGAGCCATGGCAAAAAGGGAGGCTTTGATACCTTTAATAGAGGTAAGAGAAAGAGCGAGAAAGAGGAGAGGAAAAAGGAGAATAGAGAGGAAGAGACATTAATTCCATTCATACTGACCTATTATAACCCAAAGACCTATTTATAAATAATATATCTAAATACCCAAACTACCCTTATATTCTTAATTCCCTTAATTACCTCTATTATTCCTAATTCTCATGTATCACTTTTGCTGCAAGTCATTTTCACACCCATCATCCAATTGGAGTGATTCAAGCGCCCATATGAAGCTTATAACATAATATATCTAATGAGATAAGTTTAGACATGATCCAATAGTCTAATTAAAAATTAGACAATCAGGTGTAAAAGTTACTTTTCTTTTAATTTATAGCACCCTAAGTGTTCAATTCTCATTCTTTGCCTCATTAGACTACTTTGGGCCTTGAATTAAGTCCAAAAGGACCTAATATATTTGATTGACACATCATACCACATATATCACATCAAATACTCATTTTGACCTCTCAATGCCACATTACATGTAACACCTTGAATTTCTAATTTTGCATTAATACTGATTAAGAAATGAATTAGTGATTTAATTTGAAATTACTATTGTAGATAGTGAAATGTTGTTTTAACTCTTTGGGATGTTATATGAATAGATGTGAGTGAAAGAATGGCATCTTTAAAGGAGAGTATTGGATCATGCCTTTTGATTATTACAAAACCAAGAGAATAGGTCTTTGGTGTGTATACAGATATAAAAAAATTATGAATGAAGATAAAACTTTAAGAGCATGAAGAATCAAGAGAAGAGAAAGACTTTTTAGGATAAGTTATTTTAAATTATCTTAGATTTAATGTGAAAACTTATAAAGCTTAATTACTTTTCATAATCATTAAATGATGCATCATACTTCTCATTTATATGTATTAAGACTCATCTAAGTACATTAAAGCTTGCAAACTATGTCTTTCTTGCGTGTTGAATTTCATAGAAGCGGTTTGTAATGTGAAAAATAGAATCATGTGTGATTCTTTAGGTCACTCATGAGTTTCTACATGTTAGGCACACTGACTGCTAGATCATGTAAGTGTGAAGAAGTGATTCATGCGAGATTAAGCACTTATGTTATGTGATGCCTTAAGCTTTGTTTCTGCATGCAAAATCATGCATAAAGGCCTTTATTATCCATGTAAGTTTTAGTATCTGTGCTTTATTGCATTGTCTCAAAGTGCAAAACCACATGTGAGACTGATGGTAGTTATATGTGATTTGTCATTTGTTACACAATCACATTTTGTTTTGTTGAGTCTTAAGTCATCTCAAGCCAAACTGAAATTGTTCACATGTATGATCATTGATTCACAAATCTATATCTCTTGATCATGCAAAATCTTACTTGAATTAGGAATAATTCCATATATGAAAATGCACTAGATGAGTTTATGCATTAGTACTTGTAATTTCACATGTGATAGCTTTCTGGTTCCATGTGAGTTTTGATCACATAGATTGGCTTTGGCCTTCTACCATCCATTTCATGTGTGAGAGAGAATAGGTTCCATGTATGATTTGTCACACAAAAGTAATGATAGTTTTTTATGTGAAAAATCACATGTGAAACTAGTGGTGTACTCACAAGTTTTAGTACTCTGATATGTGAGTTTATTCAGAAATGTAAAACCATAAGAGAGAGCAATAAGGTACCACATGAGTTTTAGCACATAAAATTAAATATATATTCATAAATGTTAAGTGAAAAACCATGGGAAAGGGTAACGAGGTACCACGCGACTTTTAGCACGCAGAACTGGATGCTTTTTCAAAACCATATGTAAAAGGTCAAGGTGTTCATGCATGATTTATCACATATATATTTCTGGAACACTTCATGTGTAAATTCACGCATGATTCTACAAGTCACTCACAAGAAAATGCACCAATGGATAGAATCACTATTTCAATAGTCTATCAACTATCAAAACTATATATGTAATTCATTTTGAGCTAGAAAAAGAACCAATGATCCTTGAGAAAATAAATTTTAATTTGTGCATTTAAAGAGCTTTCAAATTGTGCTTTTACAATCATGCATTCATTCATTATTCTTGAAAAGTATTGTGAAAAGCTCTCATAATTTTATAAGCTTTCAATTGTAATTTTATCTACTCTTTAAAATAGTTTTCTATTAAAGCTTATTTCTTTTATCATAACTCTTGAAAAGGTATTTTTTAAGTATTTGTAATAACTTACTGGATTGTAGCGAGGTTTATTGAGTGAATCAAGATAAGTTTAGTCTTAAGAGTTGTGTTGTGGTGGTAAGCACCCATTGAAGCTTGTGAATTTAGTTAAAAATCTCAAGTGTGATCTTGAGGGCTGATCTAGGACAAGTTTATGGCTAAACCAATATAACTCTCATGTGTTTCATCTTCTTTCTTCACACTTTAGTTCTTCACTCTTTTCAAGTTTTCAAAAGTTTTTCAAGTTTCACATAATTTGCCCTCTCTTGGGTATCAGCCTATCCTAACATGAAGCATGTGAGTATCGTGAGGATTTTTCTTACTGTGCCATACATTGTGGCTAAGGTTGGATGCATTATAGTGCATAGTGTAGAAATTGCTAAATAGGGACGTGTTTGCTCATGAAAAATAAAGAAGAAACAAAGAAAAAGGGATTCGAGCATGGATAGGAGATGGATCTCTGCTGGGGCATCCAATATCAGGAGAAAGGATGACATTTCTTACCTATTACTTATTGAGTAAGTCTTGTATTTTACTTAACCTCTGATTCTATCCTATTTTCTTTTAGTTTTAACTATTGAGAAATTAAACTCAAAAGTTTTAAGGAGATAATTTCTTTCCCTATAGTAATAGAAAGGTCCTCTAGGACTAAACTAATACTTTATGACTGGTTTGAATTGGAACAATAGAGCTTTAAAGCAATAAGCTCAATTTGACCTAGTTTAATGAGAGAGAATTTGATTGTGAGAAAGTTCATGTTTGTCGTGAGTAGTAATTGGTCATAATGCACATGAATGAATACAAATGAGGGAAATAGTAGTGATTAAGTACTTGATTGCTATAGTTGGCACTTTTTGTCAATGGTGAAATTGATTATGGGTGCCTAAATTGTGTAGATTTTTGTGTGTGACAAATTAAATACTAAGAGAAAGTGAGTAAGGATATAACATGGGCAACCCTTACTTGCAAACATAAGAGTTGAGGTAACCATATATTTTGTTATGTTGATTAGCTATTATACCTATGTAGAAGTAACATATGCAATTGAGAATTTATTATTTTAATAGTTTTATGTTTGATGATTTCTGACTTTGTTTGATGTATATATGTATATATGGTATGAAGTGTGGAATTGAGATGAATTGTGTGAAAAGCATGACTATAGGTGGTGGGAGTTCAACTAGGATGTATGTAGATGTGTGTGTGTAGAGATGTGAGTGAATAAATTCATATAGTGTGGCTAGCACCATGGAACATTCGGTGCAACATTATACAGGCTAGTAATATGGGTAATTCGATACAACATTATATTGGGCCTATTACCATGAGACAACCAGGAAGTTTGGCAACTCCCTAGTGCTCGTCAAAGTACAATTAGGAGTTAATGATACCTCTATCACAAGTGTGTGAAATGAGGGAAACCATAGCCTGTAGGTGGGATAGATTACCTTTAGCTGGGTGTTTCTACGATCAAAGGTATGCTCGGGTCAGTGAGCGATTGATCCAGTAAAGCCTATGGTTTCATGTCGAGGAGCTTTGGAGGATTGATAGATAGATGATCATGCTAGTGTGTGTGAAAGTGATAAATGTTTTTAAAAAGAGAGAAGTTATGGGAAAAGCTATGTTATGATAAATATATATACTATACTTTATTTTAATTACTTTGGCATGGTTATTTGTGCTAATAGACATTGAATAAGCTATATTGGTTATTGAGATTTTTATCTCACTCGTGGTTATTTATATTTTTTAGGTTCTAGTAGTAGTGGTACAAACGAGAAAGATTTGGGTTGAGAATAGAGATTTCTTTAGAAAGTTTTTGTAAAAATTGGTGTAATGACTCCAAATATAAGTTGTATTCGTATATATATAAGTTGCTCTAAGATTTAGAAAAATGTGTATATTATTGTGAATGTTGTTTTGCTTTGTGTTTTGATTTTCCTAGCCCCTTGTGCATATGTGGTTAAATTGAAATGGTGAGCCAGAGGATGTGTTTATAAGTGTATGGATAAATAATACATGTGTTATGTGTAAAGGTTAGCCAGTTGTGTGGAAGGAATGAGAAACAAAGAAATTTGGCCCAGGATTATGTGTTATAGGCAGTTGAAAGGCCAAAAGTGTGTATGTGTGTTAAAATATGTATATAACTATTTAATCAGGTGTTCGTTGTCCACATGAATGTGGTCAAGGCCTTAGAAGTAGCCAATGACTAGTGGTTTTGATTAGTGATGCTTAAGTGGCAAGTTTTGACATAAAACAGTTAAAATGTACTGGGATATCTAACTTCTAACTAGAGTATTAGATTGAAACAAAACTAATGTATTAGTTAGATTTTGAAATAACTTCCTATGGGCACTTGAATCATCCCAATCGGACATCGAATGCAAAGACAGTGCACTTTTAAAGTTCGTATCAGAATATGAAATTTAACAATAAATTTTGATATATATGTCGCAGCGCATGTTGTAACATTTTGAATTTCTTAA